CGACTCGACTCATAAAATTTGAGTCGAGTCGAGTTATCTTTAAAACTCGACTCGACTCGACTCATTAGGAGCTCTATTTACATTTGATACTTCGAATAATAATGACTTATGAGTTTTCCTATAATTTTCAGCTTTATCCATCCATTCGTCTTGATATTCAGAACTTCTAACATAATAAATATATCTTGGATTCCCTCTATAACTACCAAACGGTTTGTTTAACATTTCATAATCAGCGATTAAATCGGCTCTATAACCTAATACTGAAAATATTACATTGTACTTTGCATTTTCATATACACCCGTCATAAATGCGATCAACAAATTCTGCATGATGATGACAGTTAAAATACTTGCGCCTAAAATAAGAAAAGAAGTTATTTAAATCTTTAATATCATCATTAGCACGATAATATTAGATATGAAATATCTACCTGTACTAATGACATGAATTGGCCAGAAATTCCATTCTTCTAATTGATCCTATCTTCCAAGAATCCAAAAATAAGCTCCCATAACAGAGGTTATAAAATTACTATAATAATTCTCAATAGGTTTATCTAGTTCAAAGACTTGTTCAATTTTCGTGTCTACTAAGCCTGGGATTGATGAAAATGTGATGTTATATGTATCGCCATTAGGTAACTGGGTAGGATCCTCCCATAAAATATGCTAAAATTTGAATTTATTATTAAATGAAAAGATGGATCTCATGATAAAAAAATGTAAGACATACCATTGCATGACCGAAAGCAATGACCACAATTAACTACAAAATATTTTTTAATGTAAATTAATTAATTAATAAATCATAATAATGCTTCCACTTATAATGATATGATTAAAGTTTACCATAAAAATTAGGAATCCCCAAATAGCTCTTAAAATTTTTAAAATCATGTTAAGATAAGTTGCAGTAGCTATAACAAACAAAAAATATTAAGTTGTTGATACGAAAATTTAATTATAAATAATAAAGATATTTACTCTTAAAGTATCGCGTCAGGAATAACTAGAAAAAAAATTAAGAAATATCATTGATTATTAAAAAAAGTTATTTAATTAATATATTACTTACAAATTCAAACCATAAAAGTAAGACAGCAAACGCTTGTAGAGTTTTGATTTGTGTATAGTATACTTTTTCGTCGTCATAATCTAAAATATTAGGGCTTATACTCGCAACTACTGCAAGAATAATTGATGAAAGATCAAAAAAATTATATATGCAAAAATATTTATATCTCTCGTGATTTAATTGTACTACTTCCATCGCTAAAAGATAATATCCAAGATAAACAAATAATATTTCTGAAATATGATCATAATAATTAAATTTTGCATAATTATCATTAGTCTTGACAATATCAGTAGATATTGCAAACGTTTACGAAAAGGTCACGAATAATGCAAGATGATGTAAAAAATCATTTTTCGCTACCCTCCATTTAAAATCAATGCATGCTTCCATTGCTGGATTATCATATAATTCATATAAATGTACACTTTCACTTTTTCTTATAAATTTTAGAAAAGGGCTAAATTTCATTTTGTTACGAGTCAAATAACCTCTTGGCCAAAATATGAGTTTTAAAAAAAACAATCGAATTATTATTTGTTCTGTCTGTCGCATTTGTTGGATAAACTACAAAATCCGGTAATGGGACTACACGTAAAGTAGTTACTTGTGAAATTTCTTCATCTGTTTCTTTTGATTTCCAATTAATATAAGATTTAAATGTATTCCACAATGAAGACATATAAGACTTATTTTGCTTTAATAAAGTCGTGGTTTCACATTTAATGAACAAATATCCGATTTATATCCATTTATCAATTTACTTTGATTCACGAATTTTGAATCTACATATTCTTCTTTGGATCCAAAGCAAGGTTATAAAATAATTCCTTCACATTTGATTCTGTATTTATAATGATGTATTTTCATTAATTGATAAATAATATTTATGAAAAAGAATGCAAACTACGTAGTGAATAAATGTTCCTTTACATACCAAAGTTACGATTGTTAAGCGAAGGGAGTGCTTTTGTCACTGTAAACATCCAACCTATCGTAATGGATTGTTCTTTAATGATAAATTTTCGGATTCTCTTGTGAAAAATTAATTAACTCACCCGTATCTTTTTCCGCATTATTTGAATAATATTCGAGCAACATGGCGACGATAACTTTATGATTTCCACTTGATGTTATTTTAATAGCAAGCATCAAATCACTTTCATTTGTTTTAGCAGACTCTAATTTCATCCTCATAGGCCCATTCAAATTCCCTTGGTATATGCAAATAACGACTAACTCTCGTTTATTCCCATCTGCTTGTTTATAATCGAATAGAATATAATGTAACTGTTGTGACTGAAATTGTATTTTCGTCTGAAGTTGGAATTCAGATACTTTTCAGACGTCTGAAATTGAGATCCGAAGATTAGTTAACTGAAATTGGAATTCCAATTCCAGATACTTTTTTTGCTATTTGAATTCCAACTTCAGATAAACATATAAAATCAATTTTGACCCAATTTTTTTTTAACCAGTTAATTGGACAAATAATCAAAAAAAATTTAATTTCACCTTATTTTTTAACTTCTAATAAAGTTACAGTATTTATATAAAAACGTAAATTTAAAAATTAAACCACTTTTTGTAATTATATTAACTAACAAAATATTTTATAATTTTTTTTTATCTATTCATTTATTTCAAAGGTCAATTTGAAAATTTATATGCACCTATTTTTGAATCTGCTGAACAATTTAACTTAGGATTCTAAAGTCGATTATCTTTGACTAAAGTTCTCATTATAATTGGTTTAATGGTTATATAGTTATGATCATTTTTATAATTATATCATCTCATGAAATGTTTTTTTATAAATTTTATCCGTTTAGTATATTGGTCAAAAGAAGTTGACTTTGAAAGCCTAAGTAAAGTTGTTCAACGGGTTCGAAAATAAGCGAATGCAAATTTTCATTATAATTGGATTAATAGTTGTAGAGTCATAAACGTTTTCATAATTGTATTAACTCACAAAATTTTTTTATTTTTTTTTTCTTTTCAGTGACTTCAAAGAAAAATTTAAGTATTTTGGTCAAAAGTAATCGACTTTAGAATCCTAAGTAAAGTTGTATAGCAGATTCGAAAATATGTGCATATAAATTTTCATTATAATTGGTTTAATACTTAATACTTATATAGTTATGACCATTTTTCATAATTATATTATCTCACAAAAAGTTTTTTTAATTATTTTATCTGATTAGCATATTGGTTAAAGAAAGTTGGCTTTGTAATATTAAGTAAAGTTATTCAGTAGATTCGAAAATAGATTAGTATAAATTTTCATTATGATTGGATTAATAATTGTAAAGTTATAAATATTTTTATAATTGTATTAACTCATGAATTTTTTATTTTTTTTTAAATATCGTAAATACAATTTTAAAAATTGAATCAAAAAAGAAATTCAATAAAAGTTAATAAAAATCAATTAAATTATTATTTAAATAATCTAATAATATTACTTATTATATAATTTATTTTTAAATCATAATGTTTTAAATATAATAACATAATTTTTTAAATATATAATTTTGAATTTTTTTTTAAAATAAATAATTTTTAAATATAAAATCAAAATATAAAATAAATCATAGAAATAAATAAATCTTACTTCAGAATAGGTGTACCCAACTGATGCTGATTATGTATTTTCTATTTTAAAAAAATTGACAAAAGTAATAATAAAATTATATATATTTATTAAATAAATAACAATATTTTTGCAATAAGTAAGATGTATCCTAATGTTGCTAATATGCTAATTCATTTTTTATTTTTAACTAATTTTCTTTTAAAAAATATTTAAAATAAATTAATAATTGTTTATTAAATAAAAAACATAAGAAAATTTACTTACTTAATTCTTAATTTCCAAAATTTTTAAATTTTTTTTTAAATTTTTTTTTTTTTAAAAAAAATATTGTTAAAAAAAAAATTTCAAAAAGAGGTTATTAAAGATGGTACAGCAATTGATTTCAAATTTACAAAATGTTACAACATAAGCTAAAATTAGTTGCAACATATGTTGCAACATTATAAGTTACAATATTTGCAACGTAAGTTGCAATATTAAAAGTTGCAACATATTAATTACAGTTCCCATCTTTAGAGGTTATATAAAATTCATATGAATGATAATCATTTTTGAATAAAAAAAGAAATTTGACGTTTATTAATATTAGCCTCAAGTATTTATAGTATGACTTTTTAATTATTACCAAAAATAATCAATTTAATCAGCTATTATTTATATGTTTTAGAGTACTTTTTTTAGAAAATAAGAGTCATACATAAAAAATGCCTTTTAGATTCCTTGAATTATTAAATAACTACTTGCAAAAGTAATTAAACACTATATTTGCTATAATGACTAAATTAATAAGATATTATATTATTAAAGTTTACATTAAAAAAAGTGATAATAACTGTGTTTGAAAGAGCAAAGAAATATGGAACATTTTCTACATATGTTTAAGAAAAGTAAAACTATATGTCTTAACACTTATAATATAATGCTAATTAATAAATCCTTCAAATTTATATAGAAAAGCATTTAGAAGTAATGCAGATTATTAGAAAAATACAATACATTAATCATTTACGTTTAGATAATGAAAAATTTAAAGAAAATTTCATAAAAACTTCTGCATAAACTAAATATCAATATACTGCAAAGATATATTAATTTTAATGTAAAAATATGTATGCTTGTTGTTAAAATGTTTTTCTGAAATTTATACTCATATCAATTATAATAAAATTCCATTTATAGGTCTATCGTCAATAAAAGATAAATGTAAATAGAAAGAAATTACTTTTTCAATTCCAGTATTAAAACTTGCAGAAGCAAAGTATAGTCATTATCTAATAGAATTTAATTGTTTACATTTATCTAGTTTAGAAATTTTTGCAATTCATCTAATTGTTTTTTTAATAATATTGTAATAATCCAATATAGTGATAACAAATTTCAAGGTCATTTACTTTTTTTTCAAATGACCTTGATCATTTTGACTTGAAATTTATAATAAAAGTAAGGTCATTTGAGGTCATTTGAGGTTATTTCAAGGTCATTTGCAAATACTGACCCAATATACAACACAAATCCTAGCATATAAGCATGCATATCAAAATGAATGCTTTTCTAAAAATAAATATAAATGCTTGCATTACCTAAAATTTCTTAAGGATAATATTGATGAATAAGTTCAATTATTTTTAGAATATTTTTAATGAAATAATACAAATAATATTATACCTAAAGATAATAATGATAATGTAAAAGAAACTGCAGATAATATAACTATTACATAGGATTCAGTTATACGAAAAATTTATTTCAATAATATTTTATATTTTTAACACTAATAATAAAACAAATAATTTGCTATTTTTAAAATATAAATGATATTTTATTAAAATGCATTTTTTTATTATAAGTTTTTTTTTAAAGTTTTTTAGTTTTTTCGAATATTTAATTAATTGCTAATGCTACACATGTTTGCTTGTTACGCTATACTAATCCATGATGTGGCACAATAAAATTTTTTAACTATCAAGACTATTTCAGATTTCTGTGATCCAAATTCGAATTGTTTTGAAGCTCTCAATGTTCTGCATCTGGTTAAACTGATTGGTATTTCTATAACTTCTGGATCATATTTCACAGGCGATTGAAATTTCAATTCTTATATAGTGCTAATAATACATTAAGGGACTCACTGAATAGCTATGAATTTTTATATAATAATCTATTAATTTCTCATGCCATTTTGGCAATGTGGCCTCTCCAAGATTTTTTCGTGATTATATTCAAAATAATTGACTTAATAATTTTCTGAATAACTATGCATCTAGTGATTAGAATTTCACGAAATTTGGCTTGATAGATAATCAGAATCTGCTGAATCCAGTCGTTTAATCCTCATAAATATTGGTCTGGTAATTGTCGAGTTATTTTCGTTCCAAGTTCGCTATAACAAGGCAGACTTTTTTCTTATGCATTTGAAAAAAGAAAATCTGGTTAACCTAATTGGATAAACTATAAGATCAATAAATGAAGGCTGGTTATCTTCCACAGTACTGAATGTATAAGTGAAGGTTTGTACTAAATTCTCATATTTAGATTGTCTATTATAATTTTAGGATAGTAACTTTACAATTGAAGATCATATATTTTTTTGATAATAATAAAAAATTTCAATTGCAGATCATTTCTTTTTATAAGAATTTTGATCAGCATGTTTGTCATAGTAAATCTTATATTTATTACAAATTTAAATCCTAATTTGTAAAAAAAATTAAATAAAAAATAATTTATTTAATGTTAAAAATGTTATACGTAAATATTATATCTTTGAATTTAAGAATAAATTTATATAATTCTGCATTATTTTCAAATATATTACTTAAATTTTATAAATTCTTTAATTTTATTATTAGGATTATTATTATAAATTTTTTATAATAATCCTATAACTTCAATTATTTACCATTTTTTTAAAAAATTAAAAATTATTATATTTGCTAAAATTTACTAATTAAAGTTTATATTTTACTATACAGTCTTATTACTTCTATTATAAATAAATTATAATTATATAATAAATTTACTTACAAATTATTTAAAATATTATAATAAATTAAAGATGGGAAATGTAATTAATATGTTGCAACTTTTAATGTTGCAACTTACGTTGCAATTAGTTTTAACCTATATATGTTGCAACTTATAATGTTGCAACATATATTGCAACTAATTTTAGCTTACGTTGCAACATTTTGTAAATTTGAAATCAATTGCTGTACCATCTTTATAATAAATACATAATTGTTAATTGTTTATATTTGTGGCTTGATAATTTTTGAATTATTATTAATAAAGTATTTGTTATAAATTATTTTTATTATTTATTAATAGGAAATATATTTGTTAAAAAAAATAAATTTTGAAATATATTATTAAGTAAGATAACTTGTTAATTAATTATCATAATAAATTATAAGTTCTTAATTTTAAGTATAAATCATAATATTCTAAACTAAAAATTAATATTTTTTTTATAATAAATAATAAATTAAATAGTAATATATATTTATAATTTTCTAAATAATTTTTTTTTCTAAATTTTTAATAAATATAATATGTAAATGAAATTATAATAAAATAAATAAGTTTAACTTTTAATTATTAA